GACACGGCTTATGGTTGTTATAATAAAGAGCAGTTCTGAAGCTGAACCCCCACCGCGCGCTCGGCGTCACGGAGCGTCCGCCCCCGCAGCCGCGTCCCCGCACAGCAGCACTGCGCTCCGCGGCGCAGTCACTGAGAGCCGGTGGGAACCGAGCGCCGCTCGCACTGAAGCCGCGTCGCCATCTGCGTCTGGGGAACATCGACATGGTTCTGAAATCAGAGGACGGGGTCGGTAAGTAACCGGCTATACGGCCGCCGGAGAGACGCTGTAACTTTGAAGGGGGTTCGGGTGGGGTGTCCAAATGTGCCCGAACCCGGCATGCGCGACATGAACCTCCGCCAAGCTGTATGAATCTGTGTTTATTTACTTTAAAGAACAATGGATAATATGAAATGCCTGGTTAATGTTATACAATGTTGCAGTCAACAGGTCCGGGGTTCGGTGTCCCCGTATTTCGCGTTCAGGTCCGGCTGGTGATCGAGCCGCGCGCGTATACCATGCTTTACCGCGGACGTACTGTGGATATACTGATAAACTGCGGTATTTTGGCTGCGTGTGGAAGTGCGCCAATCACATTCCTTTATGGCAGAAACACTCTGCGAATGGTTGTGCAGGTTAATCGGAAATTTGTATTTTACTTAAATTTCCTTAGTTAAACGGGGCATGTAAGGCTACCCGGTCGGTCGTGTAACATGACGCTTTCTACAGTTTGGCTGTTTGAAGGTACTTTACCTTTTTAAAAATGCTTAAATGACAACCATTTATACTTGTATTGAATATGACTATAAATTATGTTTGAAAATATAAAATATTTGCTGTTAATTATATTTTTTAAATTTAAGACTATTTTGTTTTCTTGACTGCAGTACAGGATGTGGGTTTTATATCTGAATCATTTCCTCTGTTGAAAGTAGAAAGAGGAAAAAAACACTTCGTGTCGCAGTTTTTAATCTAAGTCGCTATCGCCATCGTGTCCCGCGAGAGACATCCGGCGGGCGCAGTGTGTTTTCCACACACTCCGTGTCCTCCGGGGTTAGCGTGGACCCCCGGACCATCACCCGCACTGCCTCTATCTGACCAGGCGTGGCCAGGGGGGCAGGCCAGACAGCACGCGTCATTCTGCCAGATCTGTGGGAATTACGCGGGGCAGTGGGGACAGTCCCAGGTCTATCATCAGAAGGTTGCTTATTCCAGTCTCATGGGAGAACCTGGGAGTCTGAGGTTTAAAGATATAGGAACTGTTTAAAATTGTAATGTTTTTTTTAAATGAAAGTATCAGGGATTTAACAACAACAGCAGCAACATCAACAACAAAATAATAATAATAATCATCATCATTTTTTGTTGTTGTTGCCCTGCGATGGGACGGTGCCCCATCCTGGGTTGTTCCCTGCTTTGTGCCCGTAGCCTCCGGAATAGACTCCAAACCCTCCACAACCTTGAATAGGACAAGAGGTTACAGAAAATGGATGGCTTATTATTATTATTATTATTATAAATCTGAAAGCACTACAAGGGCTACCCTCTATGTTCTGTTGATGGTGCTTCATACCCCATCGCTGGTGAGGGCCACAGCAGGGCCAACTGTGTAGGTGTGTTAGTGTTGGTGGTTCTTGTGACGCAGGCTGCGTTAAACGTGTCGGTGGTTCTTGTGACGCAGGCTGTGTTAAACGTGTCAGTGGTTCTTGTGACGGAAGCTGTGTTAAACGTGTCGGTGGTTCTTGTGACGGAAGCTGTGTTAAACGTGTCGGTGGTTCTTGCGACGGAAGCTGTGTTAAACGTGTCGGTGGTTCCTGTGACGGAAGCTGTGTTAAACGTGTTGGTGGTTCCTGCGACGGAAGCTGTGTTAAACGTGTTGGTGGTTCTTGCGACACAGGCTGTGTTAAACGTGTTGGTGGTTCTTGCGACACAGGCTGTGTTAAACGCGTTGGTGGTTCTTGCGACGGAGGCTGTGTTAAGTGCGTCGGTGGTTCTTGCGACGGAGGCTGTGTTAAGTGCGTCGGTGGTTCATGTGATTCACACCCGCCAACTCCTGACACTCCATTTGTCTGACCTGGACACGCTTCCCCGTGTGTGTGAACATCTGCGAGCCTGACGCCGGTTTAACCTTGAGCTCAGACTCTTAGACATCAGCCTGTACTGACTGGCAGTGTTGTTAAATAGCCGCGTCTGGCCTGTAGTTTGGGGCGCCTTCACTGGCTGTAAATCTGTGCTGCGATCGCATGCATAATAAACGTAAACTTTGGAAAAGTCCACCAGCGCACGGCTGAATGGAGGCTTTCAGGGGGCTCACTGCACCCCCCTGTCTGCTCTCTTTAACCGGATGGTGACTTTGGCCAAAACCCGCTGCTCGCTTTTCTGCCCCCACCATGAAGGCTGCTTCTATCCGCCTCCGTCCTCGGCCTCGGCCTCGGCCTCTCTCTGGCTGGATCCCTGCCTTCTCGCCCTCTTTTGTCTTCCTCTTTCTCTTTTTCAATGCGTACTCGCGCCGCGGTCAGCCGGCGAAGTCGGCCCAGCTCTGGTCCATTCTTCTTAGCCTGCCTGTGGCCATTGCCGCTTCACTCCAGGGGGCGCCGCTGAGATGTGCCAGTGCACCATCCCTGGGCCCAGGAGCTGGCATCCAGCCCTATGGCTTCGCCAGGACCCTCTACTGGGTAACTGGTTGGAAGACGGATGGACAAAGATACAAATAAACGGCAGAGCTGACCATGAGGGGTACTGCAGACACATAGCTGTAAAGCTGCAGTTCGGCCTGTCAGCTCCCTGACCTCGATGGCAGTGGGGGCCCCCTGGTTCAGCCGTATATGTGCTTCCTCTGGTCTCCCCCCGCCCGCGCCTCCTGCTCTTCCTGGGACCGCCCGCGCCTCCTGCTCTTCCTGGGACCGCCCGCGCCTCCTGCTCTTCCTGGGACCGCCCGCGCCTCCCCGAAAACCTACTTTTCTCCCAGCCGCTGCATCTGTAACCTCAGCCGCTGTGTCTGTAACCTCAGCCGCTGCGTCTGTAACCTCAGCCAGCTGCGTAGTAGCTGAGCCTAATTGGCTTTAGCCACCCCATCATTAAAAATAACAGAGTTGCCGTGGCAGCGACCTCCCAGAAAAGCCCGAACTGGGTTTAAATTTTCAGTGGTGCTGCTGCGATCATCCCGTATGACCTCGAAGGCGTGTCCCTGCCGCTCTTGTTGCCAGGAAGTGGACACCCGAGTCTGTTTGTCCTATTTTGAACCCATGGGGGTGGGATGGGGGGCCGTTCTCTTTAATTTGTCTCATGTAGGAGTTTCTGATGTGGTTTTGAGTGCTTGGGACGCCACCGCTCTGCTGGACCCACTGATAAAGCTCTCCAGCAGGGGGGCAGGTGCCGGGGGCTGGGGGGGTTAATGGCGCCGTGATGATGCTGAGGTACCTTTACGTGATGTGGGCTGCATCCTCAATTGCCCACAGTGCATCAGGGACTTAAACTCGGCGCACAGTTGGGGGGAGGGGGGGTCTCCTTGTCGTTGCCTGGCAGCATTCCTGGGTTTGGGGTTGGGGGGGGTTGTTAAATCCTCATGGCCAGATCTAGATCCTCAGAGATTAGAGATTAGATGCCATCGCCCCTCCCCCCTGTGAGAAAGCAGTGTGATTTTCAGCACTGGTGGGTAATCAGACAGAGGAAGTGCCTGGTGAAGTGGGGTTGGGGTTGGGGGTGGGGATGTGGAACCTGAGGTCACAGAGGTAGGGGCTCACAGTCCAGCGGCAGAGCAGATCCGGCTCGTCTGGATGTGGATGATGTGTAAAGGAGACGTGTTCTCCATTTTTATGGTTGGTGTTTGTGTGGCGCTGTTTAAGCAACAGCAACAATTCATTTTAAAATGACGACTGTTTCATTGAAACTGGCGGAGATGTCGAACATTTTAGTTGTGCCGCTGCTTTTACGGCCTTCTGTCTGCAGGGGCAGTATGGAGTCAGAATAGTGCCATATATACTTGTATGTGTACTTTCCAATTTGTTCCCGCAAAATGAAATTTGCTCGCACTGAACACAATTTTCATTCGCAAAACACTGAACATAAATACGCGTCACGTGATCTGTACTTGTATATGGAGATTTGTGAATGAACGTGAAAAACATTTTGCAAATACACGTCAATATTTTTTGTAAATGCGAAACCAAACATCTTCATAAAAATATTTTTTTACAAAGATAGAATGATTTTCAAGTACAAAACCTGTATTGCAAATCCAAGTCCTCTTGCAAATACCAACCTGCGAGTGCAAATTCACACTTGCGCATATAAATAATTTTGGCACTAACTTGCCTAGCGCTTTGCAGATAAATATTTGCTCGCATAGCCACCAATCAAATTAATTGTGTGTCTGTTTATCTGTTTTTCTGTGTATCTGTGTGTGTGTGTCTGTGTATCTGTGTGTGTATGTGTGTGTGTGTGTGTGTGTCTGTGTATCTGTGTGTGTATCTGTGTTTCTGTGTATCTGTGTGTATGTGTGTGTGTGTCTGTGTGTATCTGTGTCTGTGTTTCTGTGTATCTGTGTGTGTGTATCTGTGTTTCTGTGTGTATTTGTGTGTGTGTGAAGGTCACATGTCGAGGGAGCACCTGCCACACCCACTCAGCCCTCACCCTGAAGGCTCACATCCATTACACACACGCATGCAAATCTAACAGAAGCACTTCTGGAAAGGGGGATAAAATCACACACTGCTGTTGTCATGACTACCTGCCTGCATGTGCACTCACACATGCATGCAGAAAGCACAAAGCGTGTTGGCCAGTCACAGTGTGCCAGGCAGCTCTCAGACACGCAGGTACTCGGGTACTTGGGTACACACATCCTGGGGGGGCCGTCTGCTCCCTCTTTTGTTTGCTGAGAGAGACGCCACAAAGGGCAGAGGAAACCCTGGAGTGTGTGTGTGAGGTGGTTGCAGAACATCAGTGGGCCACTGGGTGGAGCCCTCGCGCATGATAATGAAACAAGAGAGAGTGAGTGAGTGAGAGGGAGAGAGAGGGAGTGAGAGAGCCGGGGGCTTTTCTCAGGCTGAGGCAGAGCGGCACTCGCTGGTGCTCCCCGTGCTCCACACTCTGTCGCTCCTGGATCCGTTGGTTCATCATTCGCTCGCTCGCCGCCATCTCTCTCTCTCACCGGCCCTTCCATGGAGCCGAGGGGGTGATCGCACGCCGGCTGGTAGCTGGTCACCGGGGGAGGCACCACGCACTGGTAAGGGTTTGGGCGGGGGGGGGGGAGACTTGGTAGGGGGGTACTGGAGCCACCTGTACTTGGGGGGAGGCTTGAGGTTCACTGTCATTTGGTGCGTGTGTGTGTGTGTATGTGTGTGTAACGGTGTGTATGTGTGTGTAACGGTGTGTGTGCGTGTGTAGCTCTGTGTGTGTGTAGCGGTTTGTGTGTTTGTGTGTGTGTATGTGTGTAGCTGTGTGTGTGTATGTGTGTGTAACGGTGTGTGTGTGTGTGTAGCGGTGTGTGTGTGTGTGTGTGCGAGATGGTCCCTCGTGTTGCCGCGCTGCTTTGTGCCTCAGGGCCCCGCCTGCCCAGTGTACAGTGAGAGCGCTCTTATCACCGTGAGCGACGGTTGTCATGGCGTCCGGAAGCGTGGCCGGGACGGCTTGGGCTGGCGGTGGATAACGCGGCCGCGTGTGAGTCTGTGCGCCATGCTGCACTCTTATCAGAGCGGCCTCAAGCGCCGACGCCCCCCCCCCCCCGCCCAGGGCGGTGGAGCACATAGTCAACGAGGAACCTGATGGCGTGACTGCTGATGTACCCCGGAGTAGCATGCTGAACATGAAGGTGGAATGTGTGTGTGTGTGTGTGCGCGCGCATGTGCGGGGGGTCTTTCAAGCTTCTGCCTGCCTGTGACACAGGGACTCTGACCCGCGTCCACCTTTCTGCCATGAACCTTGGCTCTCTCTGGCCTTGATGCTGGAATGTCTGGTAGGTTCCATTTTGCATGTGTATGTTGGATCTTTCCGCTCCTCCTCCCTCTCTCCCTTTCTCTCACTCTCTTTTTCTCCTGCCACAGGGGTTATCCCCCAGGGCCCTTTGGCATGAGTGGATTGATGGTTGGTTATGCAGGTCTTGGTCCAGCTCGGTGTGTGTGTGTATGTTTGTGTGTGTGAGGTCAGTGGGCTCTAGTTAATGGACTCTTCTACAATGGAGAGCTTCGTCTACGAGTTCAAACCGCAGCCCGAAACAGGCCATGCTCCAACCAACTCCACGTGACTGGTGTTCAGGTGACGCTACGGAACACAGGCCAGCCAAGCCGTAACGGTAACCAATGTGCTGAGGGTTCTGCAGCATTACGCCAGACAGTAGGGGGCGTGGCGGTTAAGGAGCGCAATTTCGGCACTGATATGTAGACACGTCATTGGGCTGTGTTTGTGATGTGGGGGCCGGCTTGGAAAGAGGAAGCTGGCTGACCGGTGTCGATTTCACACGGGGGGGGTACAGCGTGGCCATGCTGTGTCGGAAACCAGCCTCGAGACGTCACAGCTGTGACTGTACCACGTGCGCTCAGAGCGCGCCCAGAGAGGCATGTCTGCTGACCCGGCCCCGCTCCTGCCACCGAGATGGGCTAATTTCTGAAACGGGGGCAGGACCTCGATTGTGCCTGAGCCGCCGATGCTTGTCACGGTTTGGAGGGGCTTTAAAACACAGGTCACGTGACATGTAGTGCATAATGTGAGCTGTCAAAGGGTGGGGGGGAGGTCACCCTAAAACTGACACCTCTGTGCCCTGCCAGCCATGCCCCTCCCTGTGTCCGTTCAATAGTGAGGGGTGGAGGGCACGAGACGAAGGCTACAGCTGAGGAAGACGATGGCTTAATAGGCTGGCTCCTTTCAGCAGCAGACTGCAGGGTCAGATCCCAGGGAGGGGAACCGCTGTTGTACCCATGAGAGGACAGGAAATTATACTGAAGTGAGTAATAGTGTGAAAATGGAGGCGGCTGTCAGGAAAGTGCTAGAGAATGATGTAATAACTGAGGAAAAAAAGTAGAGAGAACCGGGAATGAAAAGGAGAAACCAAAGAGGTTGTGAAAAAGAGAACGAAAACTGGAAAGAGAGAGAGAGTGTGAGGAGCAAGGGTTAGGTTTAGGGTTAGGATTAGCGTTAGGGTTAGGTTTAGGGTTAGGATTAGCGTTAGGGTTAGGGTGAACCAGGCAGGGTTATGGTTACGGGTGAGATGGACCTGTGAGGAACAGAGTGGAGACCTCAGTTTGTGCAGAGTAACACCCAGTTAGTGTTACCTTCACCCGCCTGTGAGACAGGTCCCATGGTGTGTGTGTGTGTCTCTGTGTGTGTGTGGTTATCCCTGCTGGCCTGTGGCACTTCCTGCTTTTTAATCGCTATCAGCTGTTGCCAATCTGCCCTGCAACTCTGGCAGAGATGTGGTGACCCTGCAGATGGGAGATGGACTTACTTGTCCCATGCTGTCCCCCGGTGGTTCACAGCCAGCGGCCCCTTGTTTATGAGCTCGTCCCATACTGCATCGGCAGGGAGGCATCTTCGCAGCGTGACCCCTGTGTGGCCCAACGCTCCCCCACCCTGGGGGGTCACCTCGAGGTCACCATGCTCACCCTGAAGGACCCTGTGCCGTCTCTATGGCAACCCCCGTATCCCTTGCTGTTGTTGTGACATTCCGGGCTCCTGCTGGATGGGGGGAGTGAGGATATTCCTCACAGTGTCTGTACAATGTGATGTCAGCCTCCCCCCATTTGGGTTCAGCGCCCCCCTCTGCTTGAGGTGGTGGGCTCAGTTTCATTGGATGGATGGATAGAAGATGACAGAGACAGTACTGTACAGAGTTCTGTAGTAACGTCTTACAACTAGTGCAGCACGGTGGGTCGTACAGTGGATTGTTCTGTAAGTTCTGGTTACGAGAAAAGCTAACCCCCCACCCCCCCAGGGTGCTCTGAAGTCCCCTCGCCGCTCGCTAATGACGTCTGTGATGTGAAATGGAACAGTGTTGTACTTTTTGGGCTGGGGGTTCGACGCCCAAAGGGCTGCGTCAAAGTGAGTGTCCTGTGTAGGTCCCTGATGGTTGCCTCACTGCCTACTTCAGATCCCCAGCTGCAACATGGGAGGGGGGGGGCTCATGTCCCACACAGTGCCAACTAGATGCCCCATTTGTCAAGGACGTCATCAGTGATGCTGTGTCCCAAATGGACTGGCAGTCTCTGTGGTACGTAGACGGAAGGGTTAGACATGACAGAGAGAGAACGAAAAACCAGGAGACAGTGGGACAGGCACCTGACCACGGGGCTGGAGTTCAGGAGGGTGACAGCTTTTGTACCATAGGGTTAAGCTCATCTGAGCAGCCGGATCGTCATGGTAACACTGGTGATGGAGGTCCAGGCCGACAGATAACAGATGCTGGGCGTCCACCTCGGTGCAAGCCATCTCCAGCATAGCTTGGAGGAAGAGCTTCTGATGAGCTTCAGATAGGGGGTTTAGAGCTTCTGAGGAACTTCAGATAGGGGGTTTAGAGCTTCTGAGGAACTTCAGATAGGGGGTTTAGAGCTTCTGAGGAGCTTCTGACAGGAGGTTCAGAGCTTCTGTGGAGCTTCAGATAGGAGGTTCAGAGCTTCTGAGGAGGCACCGCTGATTCCTGTTCCCCTTACATATGAGGGTGCCCCCCCCCCAGCTCATAACACGGCACATCATCATTCTGATTATGTGCTCCAGCGTTCCTGCTCTGTGTTTCTGGGGGGGATTTTCATGTCAGCTTTGGGGTATTTAGTCACCACAAAAATGTCTTGAAACCAGCTCGCAGGACAATCACCTGCTGATGGGCCCGATGGACACCACATCCTCTGCATCTACTGACTCTCTCTTCCCTCTGGAGGGGGCTCTGACTGACTCACTCCAGTACTTTCCCGGGGTCCCTGCTTATCCGAGCCGTGTGTGTCGGAGGCGGGGGGGTCAGTCTTTGTCATCTTTGACCCCTCCTGTCAGCCCCAGCTAACATGACTTTACAGCTCCCACAAATCATGTGATCGGGCGTCTTAAACTGGCAGGTCTGCCTCACGCAGCCTGCGTGCGTTTACGTGGGACAGTAACGGGCTGGAAGACCATTGGGCTGTCAGTCACATGCTAACGTAGCCTTTGGTGTACAGCTCAGTAATTAGCTTTAGTCAACGTTTACTCTGTGAAAAACTTTAATTAGTGTTTACTATGGGAAGACAAAAGTGTCTTCAATATTAAGGTGTAACAAAAAATGCTGTGTGCACAATGGGTAAAGCAGCATGCTAAATTATATTACGCTCTCTATAATGCTACGCGCTAAACTATCCTGCATGGTAAATAACAGTGTGTGCTAAGGTCCACTGCAGGCTAAATAATGCGACGGTCCTGCGACATGCTAAGATATGCGACGTAGCAGTAAGCTAGCCTGGCACTCTGAATGAGCACGTTCACAGCCACAGAGCGTTCAGGCTGACAGGTTTCTAAATGTTCAGCGGCCGCTGTGGGTGCCGGTGGGGTTTGTGTCACACCAGCAGTGTCCTGTCACCTGCGTCACCCCGGAGTGCTTCATCTCGCTGAAATTTGGCAGCTGTAATGTGTTGGCTGTGCCCTGCTGAGTGCGGGTGGGGGAAATCTCTCCAACGACATCTCATCGCACGTGTCGTGTTGATGGCACAGCCGGTCACCATGGTGATGACACAGCCTGGCAAACGGGCTTGCGTCGGGCGCGTCTCGATCCCGCAATTTTGGAAGATCGTTTGCTCCTTGGCTGTCCATTGTGTCCGTGACCTCCATTTTGCTGACTGTGATATGTGTCCTCCCAGAAGCCTTTGCAGGGTATCGTGTGGCTCTGCTGGTGATATTACCCAGGATGCACTTCCTCATAGGCATGATGGTTAATGTATGTCTTTCTCTGTGTAGGCAGGATGAAAATAACCATCACATCCCACAAATCTAGATACAGATCATATCTATATATACCTTTGTATACCTTTGTGTTGACAGACTTCCCATTAGATCAGTGCAGTCAGTCAGAGGTCATGCCCCCCCCACACATAGTGAGATGGGCCACATGTGGAGGGGGAGCCGCCATTCCTAGTCATCCAGGGAGGAGGTCATCGATTTTACGGCCCGACTCCCAGCTTGCTCTCTCTGCGCCTTGGCCTCTTGATTTGACGCGCACGCACACCAAACATACACGGTTTCGCTGTTGTTTTCATGTCTTTTTATGAAGCTCTTGAGGTAAACAAGCCATATATTAATTTTAAAACATCACATGCCTTTTCTATGTTTTTTGTTTTTACAGATAATAAATGAAATTACTTAATTCGCTGGATAGAGATATTTCTTGATGAAAGCGGTATAGTATTGCTTATAAGACTATATTATGTGTGACAATCTACTGTATTCACATGTAATAATGTACCTGAATGATTTTCAGACGTTTCACATACCTCTTTGCTTTAATATTAGGGGAAACATTATTTCCTGATAGGAGAAACATAGGGAAACTGAATTGCCCGGAACACCGTAATACCAAGCCGCTTGGAAGAAATGGGGCACACGCGAAATACCGAACAATGCCGCTTGAAAATCAAAAAACATAATTAAATAACTTGTTTGCTTTCAAAAGACTGAATTAGCAGTAAGCTAATTCTTACTGCTTTGATTGGCATAGCCAAAGTAAGTGTACGTACGTAAATGTAATTGATGGCAGCATGATTTGGATTTTACTGAATCTTATACTGTGATAGAAGCTGACATAACAATAAACCGCATTTTCCAGCCTCAACTGTTAGTTTTAATTTTGGGCTGTCAGTCAGGGGCGGTCACTGATGATGTAATTTGGCGCCGGTACCATTTTTTTACGCCAGTGGAAAACCGACATGAAAGTACCAAACTTTCTGCACTTTATGGAAGTACCGAAAGTACGGTACCTGGTGCGGTGGAAAAACGCCCAGTGATGTCCCTGCACCGCTGCTCACTGACACAAGGGCGGCGCCACATACACAGCCTCCATGTGACACTGCAGCATCAGAAGGGTTGGCCCCATTAAAGAGGCCCAGAGGGAATTGGCTTTTCCATTCCTGGAATATGATACTTCCTGTGGTCGCAGACTGTAGTCGTTCTTGGTTTAAGATATGATGTCATCTCTGTATGAGGGGGGGGAACTGAAGTTTCTGTGTTGAAATGAATGTGACATGCAGGAAAGCAGTAATGAAACGTTATCGTGATTCTCCCTTGATGACACAGCAGTGAGCCTGACGCACTTCTTCACTCAGCACGTGTCGATGGTCAGAAATGATACGGATGAGGTGTCACCAACACGGGACCCTAAACCTAACCCTAAACCTAACCGGAACCCTAACCTCAATGCTAACTGATGCCTTTGTGTGTCCCTCAGTGCCTGACGACCTCACCCCAGAGGAGAGGCAGGAGCTTGAAAATATCCGTCGACGCAAGCAGGAGCTGCTAGAGGATATTCAGGTGTGTTTTTAGAATACTCTGTACCTGTACCCCACTACTGTATCCCCATACTGGTACCAGCTTGCATATAACCTTCCATATACCCGTAGCTGTTGTTCTGTCCCCTGGCCATGGCCTCCCAGGCCCTCAGATGCTCTGTGTCACTCCCATCTAACCTTTTCCAGGCGATGTCATCCCTCCTCCTCCTCGTTTTCACTGATCCTCCTCTTTGGCAACCATAAAGGCCCTCTAAGATAACTCCTGAAAGCCAGTGACCAGCCCTCCACCTCCCCCTGCTACCATACTCACATGCTGTAGGTTACAGTCACCTGACCTAAGCATACTGGTTGATTTGGTTGTTTTAGCCGCGCCTACTTGACATCCCTGCCACCTCTGGCACACCCCAGCCGACTGCGGTAGGAGCGGTGGGGGGGGGGGGGTGCAAATGGGCCTCCTAATCTCATTACACTGATTGTCTAAGCAGCTGGGGAGGTCAATCTCTTTTTTTAGGTCATTAATTAACAAATTGAGTAAGAAGCCTGTAGCACATTCCTCCTGCATTCTTTTCCAATTACGCTCTGTCACCTGCTCACCCAGTTTAGCTGAATGGGTGTCCGGGCTGGGGGCGTTAGCTTAAGGGAGACACCCTCACCCAGCAGCCACACGATTGGCTGGAGCAGTGACGGATTTACCCGGAACCCCAAAGTACAGTGACCTGGAAGATGGTGGGCTGTCTGGGGGGTGCTGTGGTGTCTCTCAGGGGTGTCTTTGTGGGTAGTTTTTTTTCGGGGGGTGGGGGGGCAGTTACTGCACTGTTCTTCCCATCCCATGCTCTGCTGATCTGCAGGTGCAACTATTTCCCATAATTCCTCTGAAGGTTCACGCGGTCACCTACTGGGACTATCATCCCCCCCC